CCCGCGCGCGGGAGTGGGACTACAGTGTATGGAGTGAGGCGCGGGAGTGGGAATCCCGCAAAGCAAGCGCGGGAGTGAGGTCCCGCACTGACTCCCGAATTAGCAAAAACATGTGTATGACATACACTCTATGCTATGCGTTACTGTAAGTCTTCACTCACTCCCGCGTTATATAGCACTCTCATTGCCTTTGCATAGTGTTCGCATCATATCTGTGCTTTCAAAATAAAAGCCAGATTATATATAGGCTATGAATTGGAAGATTTTTCATTGCTTGCGAGTCAAGTATATATTAAATACATGTATACTTTTAAGCTTGACTCGCAAGCAATGAAAAATCTTCCAATTCATAGCCTATATATAATCTGGCTTTTATTTTATTAAATACTGTAAAAATCATTTATTTGTCCCATATTTTAGATCCTGTTTACCACATTAGTCCCATAAACTTAAATGCAAATCATTTGTTAAAAATAATATCAACTCAGTTATAAATGACAATCATAATTTACCCTGGTAACAGTAGTAGTATTTAAAACATAAACCTGTACTAAAACACTTTAAACTAATTTTTAAAATATATCTCATTACAGTTTTAATTCAACTCTAATTTAATACTAATTTCTAAAAACTTTATATAAAAAATTTTATATTACTATTACTGTAGTAATACCAGTAATAATAACGACTCATTGGTTTGTGGATATCTTGTAGAAAACATTATTTTATTTTTCAGTAAATTTCAGTAATTTTTAGTCTTACAAGTTAATAGAAAATACCTGAAAATAAACTAATTTTTAAATAAACTTAAATAAACTTAAATTATACATCAAATGCATTGCAATAGTTGCAAAATATGTGATTAGTAACCAAGTTAATATACAGGTATATTCAATTGCAAATGATTATTGAATTTATGGTTTGGCAACAGATATATCAGTCGATGATTTGGTAAAACTTCTATCACTTAAAAATCCTTATTATGAGAAAATGACAGCAATAAAAATAGCCTTGTCATTTATAAAAGTGCTGGTTTAACATTCTTGCGTAAATGTTTATACTGTATATATATATATATATAAAGAGGTGGAGACGGCTATCGTAGAGCACCGGGCGGTGGCCGAAGCGGCCGCTGTGTCGGCCCCGCACGCCATCAAAGGGCAGAGCATTCATGTGTTTGTCGTCTTGAATAACGGCTACGAATTGAGCGCAGAGTTGGAAAGGGATATAAAACGCAGAGGTATTGCGAAAACAACTAAATTATACTATTTGTATGAGATTTGGGCACTAAATGCGATGATTGGTTGACAGCGAGGGATAGGATCGGAGCGCTTGCGGAACCCGATGTGATCCGAGCGGTGAGCGGACTCCCGAAGACTATGTCGGGGAAAGTTATGCGAAGAATACTCCATAAGATTGCGGGAAATGAGTGCGAATTGGGCGACACCTCCACTCTGGCCGACGACACCATTCTCGACGAACTCTTCGCTATCTCTGGCGTTAAACGTTGAAAATAACGACACAATTATGTATTCATTTACTCCGCATGTAATCGAGATATTAATATCAATTGTTTGCGATTATGATATCATTAATAGAATCTAATATTGTAGGGCCTATTTTGGGAGGTCCCAACAGGTAGGGGGTTTAGGGGGGCTTAAGGAGGGGTTCACACACACAAAACCCGATTTATAAGAAATCTACATTTTATTCATTAAACATACCGTACAATGGTATACAGTAAGTACGGAAGTGCACACTTGGACACCACATAACTAACTGAATAGTCGACTGTTTTTCTTCACTCAACTCTTCCGCCAAATCATTGATCAAATATTTCACACATTTTCACAACTAATCCGATCTTAAATTCAATTCGAAATCACTTTTAATTGCATTAAAAATGAAATCCAAAAAACAAATGTTTTGAGTAAATGAAAACACATTTCAATTTTAGATTTCATATTTAATGTGCACTTCTTTTACTGTATGTTTAATGAATAAAATGTAGCTTTCTTATAAATTGTGTTTTGTGTGTGTGTGTGTGTGTGTGTGTGTGTGTGTGTGTGCGCGCAATATGTTTTAATTATGAAGAAATTATAAAATTAAATTAATATATTGTGTTTCAATATTTAAACTATTTTACCGGTAAATAAATAAATAAATATATCGTACTGCATCACAACGTTCTGAAAACCGGTAGCTAACGGGTGTCCCATTTGATCCCAACTATTTTTAATTTAAATTAAAAATATTTACAATAAATATTATGCTAACAAAAACTATACCAAAACATGGACATTTATTTATGTTTTATGTACGATTTACAAAATTTGCATAAATTCATATTGAATGAAAGAAAAGTTTACTTTTCATTAAATCTTTTCATACATTCAGTGAATTATTTTTAATGAAATTCATAAGATTTCGACCAATTTATAACTGGCTATTACGGCCACAGCCCTATCAAATTGAGCTTCTTGGATATGTATTTGACAATGTTAACTTTCTTAAATGACAATTTCACCAGGATCGCTAAAACATATATTAAAACTAGATTGGCAAACAACATATTATTAAATTTTTATAGGAATTCATTTGCAATTTGAATGAATGGACTCTCAATTAAAACATAACCGAAATAACTGATAATAAATGTAATCATTAATCGGGATATGTACTCCAATAACTGCAACAATAATGAAGTAAATTAATTAGATTTCAAATACTATTAATTGAGTTTAAAATATTAAATCAATTTTCATAAACCACTTACCGCTGTCCCTATTGTTAAGTAAACTGTTTGTCTGGTTGTGTAAAACATATAATTATAAACAGGTAAATGAATGAGATAAGCCTGGTAAGTCAGTTTACTAATAGGTAGCCATCCCTTCCACGAGAGTATACCGTTGAGCACCGGTGCCCCACCCGTCTCACACGTGTATATTACATACGCCACACATATAGACCATAGGATGCAATGGATTGAGACATACAGAGCACTCAACATATTATCCGATGGCATGGATTTGTTTTCATACAAAAGCCTGGTTAATATTACCATGGTCATTGTTGCGATGCATAATCTCCATAAAATTGAACCATATTTCTAAAAAATTAACAAATTATCAAATCTTTGAAATTATTTGCAATAATCCGCAATATATACATAATTTTCGTAACGATTATTCGGATATTTGTGATAATATTGCGCCAATAGTATCCCGATACAATACGGTCCCACCCAAGTGATCATGTTTAGGTAAATTTTGCGATTAAAACTAATAGTATTAATACATATTTTGTAAAATTTTAAACTAAATATTTTTTATTCTTACTCAGGATTTGCCATTATTGGGCTTAAATTATTGTGCACATATATTACACCAATTGCCACCATACTTAATATAATAATCAACCAATTTATTGCAATACCAAGCATTTGTTTTCTAAAGGTATATATTTTTAAAACTGAAACTATATTCACATACTCTTATCCATTATATTGCTAAATTTATCACGAATAAAAAACAATATAAAGATGTATATTTATAAATCATGGATTTTGTATTGAAAATTAAAATATTAATGATTAATATTTTAATTTTAATACAAAATCCTTGGCTTCAAAATAAACAACCTTTACCTTTCACTGTACTTCATTTGTTTAGAATATAAAAATGCTAATAATAAAGGTGAAATTAGGGAAAGTTTCCATTCGACTCGCAATGACCAAAATGACATAGAGTTACTATTCATATACTGGTGCCACTCGGGCCCCGACCCCAACACCTCTAAAAGGATGGCAAAGGCCAGCCTGACAGCGATGATGGATGGCATTAAGCGTACGAATCGGCGAATGATTTTGCGGATCGGAAACAAATAATTGACGGCTGAAGTGCTACCCGTCCCATGCGAACGACCTAACCGTCCATTTGCTTGAAGCAAACCACTTATCGTAAAATAGGTGGCCATACATAACGTGGGAAATGTCATCATTATATCATATGATTTCCTAAATTTGTCCATTACTTGCAATCTATTTGCAAACATCTCTATTTTGTAAGGATTATATAAAGTATTTAAAAATAATGCACCTTGATATTTGATAAATTCTGAAATACTGTGTTTATCATATATTTAGTCTGCTATTTATATAAGGTTAATCTCCATTACCGTTTTGGTGACTGATTATGAACAAATTGTAGTGGTGTAACAATACATATACCGATAATAGGACTCGTATTCCCGATAAACACGACAGCCATTGATCCCGATGTGTGTCCACTCGTAACAGATTACAAGTGTTTTTAGTGATTGAAAACTTTTCCGCAAATGACCGCAAAGTTTGTACCAATTCTATGGGATTTATAATTATTATAAGTAATATTTATTTTAGTTAAAAGTATACAAAAATGAAAATAAATGTTACCATTATTAATTTTAGTTGTTGAATTTAATTTTCCCGAGATTGATCCCAATGTAGCCAGCATAATTATTAAAATAAAACAGCAACTTCCGAGTTTCATTTACAAAAAAAATTCAATATTATAATTCAAATGTTAAATTTTAAAATTCTATTTAAACATCAAATTGCTAAATTATCTGTAATATTATAAGCGAGATATTAAATTTGAGTGAACATGGTGTACATAAAACTTAAATAACAAATACAAACCCAATGATGATATGCAACCATTGAATCGGATTATCATTTCTGTGAACGCATTGCTCTAATCGTGCGCTCAATAAGTGTTTCAATGAATCTATTGAGAAGTGTTAAACATTTGTCAAATATTTCACCTTGCACTATTCACATAGTATAATATTTGCAGTTTTCATATTTCATAAAAATCATACATTTTTCAAGCATTGCATTGATATCGCGTTCACTGCAAACACTGGGCAAACAAATACCGATCGATGCGTTCATACCATTCAAATCATCCCTTACTTTGAACTGAATGTTAAAAAATAAAGTTTTATAATATGTTTGTTATGTTTATGTTTAGTTAAATGATAAATGATCGACTATTAAAGTGAAGTTCATCTAGATAGATCATGATTACCAAATTGCTCTAATAGAAGTGACAATTTTAACATTGTAACATATAAATAATACATACATGCACATTTCCGATAATATGTCGGATGGGTATCTCTAACGTGCAATACTGACCAAATATGTGAATACCGTTTCCATTTGTGTGTAAATCAATACCCAGACACTCATCATAGTCTCCGAAAAAATATGTCGTTCCCTTTAAGATACCGGTGCCCAAAGTGGCCGAAGAATCCACCACTTAATGTTAAATAAAATGATTAAATCGTAATGGTGTTCAAAAATAATTACTTGTTAACAGCCATTCCTGTTGGACAGTAAGGTTATCGTCCAATAAATCATGGATTACTTGCCGACACTCGACACTGATATCCGTTTCATTGTAATACGAAAACAATTGATTGGAAATCAATTGCTTATAACGTATTGATTGCGATAATTGTATGCAAACTATGGATAATATATTAGTTATGAAAATAGGTTTAACTGATAGCTTCATAATCCTAATTTGGAAATAAATTTTAAATTTACTGAAACTCAAAATAACAAGCAAGTAATTAAAAAATTAATATTTTAATTTGAATATTGTGTACAGTATTACAGTATTATACTATTATATATATATATATAT